CTTCAAAAAGGTGAGAACCGGGCCGGGAAGCGGTGTCGGGGCTCCCGCAGGGCTCCCCGCAGCAGGACGGCAAACCCTCCGGGAAGGGGAAGCCTGCTGCTCTGGAGTTGTAGCCACGTAGCTCCCTTACGAGCTCTGTGTAAAATACTGGGCTGTGGGGGTTTTTTTTATGGTGTCTCTTAAATCCTTACGGTGAATGAATCCTGTAACTCAAGAAGCGTCACCTCTTCGCTTCAGATCACGGTAAAAGACATTGAAGACTTCGAAAAGAGCTATAAAGATTCAGAAGAAGAGCTGGCTGATATTAAAGCGGCGTACATGGATTTTGAGGGTGACATGGACAGAATAATGGAGTCGGTGTTGTGTGTGGACTATACAGATGAACCAAGAATACGGAAAATCATAGAACAAGCCATTGACTCTGGAGAAGTCCCGTCCTACAAAGGTTTCGTGAAAGAGTCTAAGCAGAAAATGCTCGCAAGAAAAAGGCGGGTAGGTTATATCAATCAGGGACCAAAGGGGAATATTATTTATTATAAGCTTTTAATCTCCCTTGGTAGAAATAAACAAAACTGTTCTTAAGACAAACGTTTGCCACAGGATTGCTGGGTTACAGATCTTGCTCAGTATCTTTGACTTTCACATTCAGTCACCTGTGTTCTCCACCCCCCCCAAAATGTTGTGAAAGGCTTTTGAGTTTTAAGAGGCTGTTGCCTATTACTTCTGGTTTTTTATGTTGTTATTACACACAGCGGCTTATTACAGTGTAGCACATCCCTGCGTTTATTTACAAAGCCATGAGCTGCTGGAGTTAGGAAGCGTACGTGGGGTGGAAATATATTATGCTCGCCTTGTGGCAAGTGTGAAATAACATTCTGGATTAAATGGACCTCTTCTCCAGCCTGGGTTTTTTCTTTCTTTTTTTTTGGACACGTAGCATACGTTATGTGCACATCCCAGTAACCTTTCTCCAATGTAAGAAATTGTAATAGCTGCTAAGACAAAAAAAGCGTGGGTGTGGGGAAGAGAGATGGGGATAGACATCTCATCATGGTCAGCGTTGTGAAACAGCAAAAAACTGTCCCGCTCTACTGAACTGCAGAACCAGAATGGGCTTTCTCTTTGACTGACCTCTCATCTGTGGCCAAACTTGGAAACCGTTTGTGGTTCCTTGCAGCTATTTATTTACGGATGCAAAATAAAGCGTTTGGTAACAACTATAAGACTTTGTCAAATAACGTGCAAAATACTTTTTAAAGACCTAGTTTGCTATTTTAGGCAGAGAAAGAAGCCAGAGAGGCAGAAAAGACAAAAGACGAACTGGGCCTTGGTGGAGAAGATGACTTGAAAGCACTGATTCAAGTAAGGCTTTTTGTATCTGTTAAAGATAATTATGTTACTGGCTTATAATTGTGTTTTCCCTGAGCATCTTTGTATTTTGGATCCTTGCAACAATTCTGAGTTCCTGAGGTTACAGTCTGACCTTAAAATGTTATATGTATGTACTTTAATAATCAGAGTGTGTTATGGATTTTATTACCTGTGTCTTTTTGGAAATTAACAAAGTTATTCTAATATGCTTATCCTTACTGCACACACAATCAAAATATTTAACTTCTAGTTTTAGGCAGTTAGACGGGGATTGTTAACGATGCTTTCTTTCAGAGGGATTCCACAAGGATGTAGAGGTTGCTAGGTCTTACTATTTTGGTTTTTTTATCTTGGGGATCAAGGAAAGAAACGTACTGTTTATGTTCTGTTTTTTGGAATGTTTTCTGTTTTTTCTTTCTTATCATCCAGTGGGCTTCCTAGAACGTTCATGCTTAATCATTCCTCAAATTGTAACAGAGTTTTAGGTCTAAACTAGAAATTGCTTTGCTTTTCCTAGCCTTATGTCGCGATTTTTTTATAGCCACTCTTCACCTCTGTCTTGGTACTTGTGGAAGTTCGGTATAGAGCCTAGAGTATACAAGTAGGCTTTTGCTTGGCAGTACTATACCTCCTGTAGCTTGTATTCCCCGTTTAATCTATTCTGAGATTTTATGTAGCTGTCTAACTTCAATAGAGTAATCTGTATTGGGAAGTAGTAAAAGTTTGGTTTTGATTTTGGTTTTTTTTCCCCTCCCCCAGAGCAGAAATAAAGATCGAAAAAGGGAAATGGATGACTTTTTGGCCCAACTGGAAGCAAAATATGGGAATAATGCTAAAAAAGGAGGCAAGAAGACTGCAGCCAAGAAAGGAAAGAAATAAAGAACTGTGTAGGCTGAAATAATCGGGTATAATTTTGTATGGGAACATGTGGATTTGGGAGAAGTTCAGAGTTTTTCTGGACTATTGTTTCAGAGTGTGTGTGCATCAGCTTGCTGTGACTGGGAGGTATGACACAGAACACGCACCGCGAACGAGACAGACAAAACATCCTGGTGCTACTTTGGGTGCTCTTCAGTTACGCTCAGACAGATTCTTGACTAAAAGTTTTGTTACAGTAAGGAAGCGGTGCGATGTTTGGGATGCCTGGGTGTTTACTGCACACGTGCTGAAGCACATTCCTTCCAAACACCTAATGGGTATCAGTACAGCTGGTGGTGAAAGAAAACGTAATCCCACACCTTGGGGAGTCTTCAGTGCTGGTTCCTGTGGCTTCTGAGCGAGAAACCTTATCTTTTTTGTTATTTAAGGGTTTCTTTTGTAACAAACCTTCTGCTGTTTTTAAAGGTCTTTGCACTTCAGCTCAACAGGTGTTTTTCACATACTCCGTTGGTTTTATCAAGATACCTTGAAAAATTGCAGACTTAATAAATGAGAAGATTTTTGCAGAATCCTGTGGTATGTTGCTTCCCCAGCCCTCTTTACATTTTCGAAGTAGCTGTTCAAAACGCACCGACAGCAATGACTCTTCCGACTGCTTTAAGTCAAGTAAACACTCAACAATACAGCTGTATGGTTAACTCTGGCGTCAGTGCTGGCGCTGCTACATTAGATGAAAGGGCCACCTAGTGCTGGGTCTTTGAGGATTGCCTGTGGCAGATGCCTTAGGAAGAACATGAGGCTGCAGCACGTATGTGACTGTGCAGAAATTCTCTAACACGCTGAGGTGAGGTAATAAACTTAAAAATCCACAGAACAGAGCTGGTTCTGCGTACTTCTAGGGTTCCTGATGTCCCGTGACAAGGCGTTAGAAATGTATTGCAGGTTATTTCAATAGCATCACAGTCACGTCTGCTGTAGGATGGTGGTGATTAGCTACTTCATTGTATTTGTCAACGCTTCTGTTATTTCAGAAGTGAATTACTTCTGCAAGATGTGCAAATACTTTGAAGGGTTTTGCTTCAGCTGTTTTTAAACCCCTTGACATGGTGTGCAGGGCTGTGAACTTGAAGGGTAACCAGTTTTCAACTTACTATAGCTCAAGGGAATGAGGCTGGCTTTATTTTGTGGATCATTTTTTCAAAGGCTTATGAGCCACAAGGTGACCGCTTACTTTTGAGTTGAAGGTCCTCATGGCTTTGGTGATAGCATTCAGGGAACTGACTATTTATTAATAGAGCTTCCCGGGGGGGAAAGCTAGAGGTAGAATGGCAACTCTGTTCCCTTTTACTTGGCTGCTTTCAAAAATTATCCTGATTCTGAGAGAGTACAGCATATTATTACGTTGCACAACACGTGACTTTTACTATACAAAATAGCTATCTAACAGCCCAGGAGAAGTTTCTGGTGTCAACCATTTGTACAGAAACTAAAAATTACCCCATGATGAGACTGCTTGCACTTTAACACATTGACTCCTCTAGGCTACAAAATACTACGTTGCGTTACTAGAAGTCTATTCAAGGTTATTTGTATGTTTTTGTAACTCTTATGCACTAGGGCTACAGAGCACGAACTTGGTCCCTGAGGAATGGCACCAATATAACCGGGATGCTTATCTCCACTTAGCTTGAGATATCTAAATGACACGCTGTACAATGTTCCAGTAGTCTTAGCTGTTGAGAGAAATTGTATTTTGAAAGGGTTTAGTGAATAGAGGCCTCTCTTTAGCATCAAAATTTATTTCTGTGCAAACTTAAGAGATTTCGATTGAGACTAGAGAGACCTTTTTTTCCCTTCTAGAAATGCAAAGGAAAGGAAATGCAAATGCAGTTACATTTGCAGTCCTGCTTTGCTTTCTTTTCCCTCCTTTTTGATTAGAGCATGCTTCTATCAACTGGACTCAAGAACTTCAGCACTGATTAAAAATTATTAGCTGTTCTGTAGGTACCACTAACATTTGACAGATTGCGTAACTTACGAGTGGGGAAGTAGGAGCCACTTTATAAAGAATACTGACAAGTTTTTTTCCAATATGAATTGTAATTTGAAAAATATTAATAAGGAAATTTAGAAAAAAGTGCTCTTTAATTGGATTATAAAGGAACAACTGGTTTTTGTGCAGTGTCCTAACTTTGTTAAAATACAGTAAGTGGTTATCCTCACCTTGTATTTACACTTCCTTGTAGCCTGGCGCTTACTGCTTTGGGAGTAAGACCTTCAACTAATCACTTATTTTGAGAAGCCTGTATTTCGTGTTTTTGTCTTATCTGGAGCCACAAGGGCAACCACAGCTGCTACCTCCGGTACGTCTGTCACACAGTGCAGGACACATCTACTGAAAGCTGCGTTGTGGAACTTCATGGCAGAGTGCAGAAATCTTGTGTAATGGCAGGCATTTTTAGAAAGGGAGACTGACCTATTCCGTGAAATGACCATAAAATATCTCACCAGGAAGACAGTGTACTTTCTTCGAATACTGTCTGGAACTACTTGCAGTAAGAGACTCCTTTTTGCCTCTTAAACCTTCTTCGGCCACCGAGGAGGGAGGTATAACTGTATAACACAGGAAGAGTCGGGGTGTACTACCCTTGAAGCTGTCAGTTCTGTTCATCTGGTTTGCCACCTTCGTTTTACACAACTGTGTTTAATACCTGCTGCAATTACTACAGGGTTCATAACTTTGTCTAAGTTGAGTTGTAGAAGCAGTATCGTGCCGTGCTTGCTTTTGATAGTACAATATTGCTTTAAACATAGAAATATAGCTTTAAAAATTTAAATTACTACTGCTATGGAAAACCTGATTAATCTTCTGTAGGGCTAACAGAAAAATCAGCAGGTTCTGCAGTACCTGCCTGTAACAACATGAACCAGTAACAAGCCAGTAATGGGAAAACAGCAACGACTGAGAGCATTTGCTAGATTTTCTAGGAGTTAGGCTTTACTGCCCACTGGAGTATATTCACCCTTCCACTGGAGTATAACTTTCTACTGGTAGAAAACGGAATGTTTAAGTATACTCCTTCTAATCTTTGGCAGCTGCTTCTTGGATTTGTATAAAAATAATTATTCATAAGGAAGGGTTTTTGAAAATTCTCTGTAAACAATGTTGACATTGCTGAGAATGAGAGGTGGTTCATGACCCTGGAGGCGGATGGATACTTCTTCATGGCACGTTAGAACCCCTGTTTGCTTTTTGTCACTGATCCACTTTGACTGTGGGCTTTCACAGAACCGTGCAGCCGAAGACCTAATAAATAGATCACGTACAACTTTAAGACTTCTGGAAGGTATTAAAACAAAGTACCAAATACATCTTCTTTAGCTTAAAACTGGAATGCTTTTTTCTTTTTTTTTTTTTTTTTTGGCTTTTTATTCTAGTACGTGGCATTATGTATAACTTATGCAATTTTGAGACAAGTGAGTGGTCTTCCAAAAGGGGCAAAGTGTGTGCTTTCGTAGTTGCTGCATTGCAGGGAACTACTGTATTCCTTGATACTTCATGAAGTATTCAAGTCTACAAAGTTCTGCTGATTTCCCCTTTTTTTTTTTGTAATACAGCAGTCATAAAACTCATCTTGCATTTAAAGATACTGGTTTTTTTTTTGGGGGGGGGGGGGCAGATATTTATTTTAATTTCAGTAGGAAACACTCCTTTCTTGTTTAAAAACGAGTTACTTCAGTTTAGTGCCTTTGTTCAACTCAAGTTGCCTCTTGTACCACTTATATTAGTGGTAGTAGGCCATTCAGCCGTTAGACCAGCTAAAAGACCCCTCCTGTCCTCTAATGATCACCCATGTACTTGCTACCTTAACCTCTGCAGCTTCCATTAACTTTTGCAGCTTCAATTCTATCTCATTAGGATATTTTTATGTGGGAAATTCTGACAACTCCGTAAGGAAGGAATGACAAAAGGAATCCAGTGTAACTTGACAGACCTAGTTTTCAGAAGGTGCATCTAATCCCCTGCTCTCTGCCACCCCTTCCAGGTGGAGGTGATACTTAGCATCAATACAAAGTTCACAGCCAGTGCTCAAGGTAAGTTCAGGTGAGAGTTACAAAGACAGCATTCAGAAAAGCTGTTCCAGGGCACAAAAGTTAACTTCTGCTCTACCATAATCTCTGAACAAAACCCCTTTCAACTGACTAGACTAGACCCTGCGTGTGCCAAGAGGTGAAAAACCTAAATATCCGAACGTATAGATGAAATAAGGAAGGTTCATTGGTCTACGGTAACACTTGTGTACACACGTGCAACTTAGTCTTGTAGCTTCCTACTATTAAAAAAGAACCACAAGCCTGGTTGTGACTGTGTAGCTATTCTGAAACATATATGAAGACTATTTTCAAAGTGAATTAACCACAAACAGTTTAAGGAGATGACTTTGCAGTGAAGGAAGGGAAACTGGAGGGAAGAGTATGCATTACATTCACAACAAAAATGCCTTCCTGCTGCCTTGATACTTTGACTAATTAAAAATAAGTAATTTTAGATGAGATTCATTTTAGGTTATGCCACTTACCTCCATAAAGTTAATCCAATTGTTACACAGTACAAGCATGCTCTGATTACAGAGTATGCACGTGAATTGTACCGGTATGGTTACTGGCTTTAAAATATACTTGGAGTTGATCTAGTGCAATTCTAGTACAGTCTGTGTCAGATGCAGTGCAAATAAGTTTCTTCTGGACATAATGCAATTTCTTTCAGTTGTATGGTCGAGCAGAAGAAAAACCCTTGGACAGAAAGTAGTTGTTGCTAGTTCCTGTTTAAATTGGCAACTCCTGCTCTTAACTTTGACAGGAGAGGTGTTGGACCTGATTGCATTAAGCTTCCTTGAATGATTTCAAATACTAGGTGGTAATAAAATCCCAAACCAACCACAACCATACCCAAACATGCACTATATACAAATATAAAACTTGTATAATGGAAAACTTAAAACATGACATAGAACTTTAAAAAACCTCCTCAATGTAATCACCTATGTAGGAAACGCATCCTTGTCCCAAAAGCCTACCTCTTGCTTCATCTCTGTAAATTCTATGGCCGATGAGCATACCTGAACCCGGTGATCCTCTGCTTGTCCAAGTTCGATTACTGTAATCAGTAACAGTGCAAGAACGGCGGTGCTGTGGATCTGGCTGAAAAGACAGTTCAAGTTACTTCTTTGCATGAAAAATTCTAACCGTCAAGATTATAATACAGACTACTTAAATGTGTATTTCCTAATTTGTAAGATGTTGTAAAGGTTTAAGTAGAGCTTTTACACGTTTAAGGAGGGTTAAGTTCAACTCCTACAGAGTAGAAAATACACTTTTATAACACTCTTGCTTAGAAAGATCACTGGGCCAGTTAAAGGCATTCTCACCGCATCTGGAAATTGTTCTGTTTCAAAACAGATTTTAAAAAGTTTGTACACTCAACTGCTAAGTCAAGGATGTTGAAATTATACACAGAAACCAAACCAGCTGCTATTTAAAAGCTATTGTGAAAATTACAGCTTTTAAAGCTTAGATAAAAAATACTTGGCTAGATAGGCCAAGATAGCTGCAGAGTAGGTGTTTCAATAAATTAAACCAAGAGCATTTGATACTGAAACAGACTGGACGTTAACAGTACAGCAAACTGGTGCAAGAAAGCAGTGAAGACTACCCTACCCTCGCGTTTCTGAATACGGCTGTAGGAATGACTTCCCAATGTCTATGCAAAATTTTAAAGCATCCTCTCCTACCCCACAGTTCTTCTTAAGCCTTCACAGAAGACGCTAGATTGAACGTTACGCCTCAAGTAACACTTAGCTTTCTCCACAAGCATCTCAAACTTGGATTCTTCAAGAAAAGTGTAGTACCAGCAGCTGCTTATAGGTGTAGTTAGGAGCTGGCTGCGGGGACTATAGCGAGATCCTTGTCCGTGAACAAGTGACTTGCCCTGTTTGTTTCGGAAGTGCCAAGCAACGATGCTTCTGTGAACCTGTGAGTATCTAATCAAGTTGCGAACCTGATCAACTCCCTGGCACTGACTGCCTATGACATTTGGTTCTCGGGTAATGTTTACCTGTGTTAATTGTCAAAGCACCCTACTGAGTAACTAAGGATGATCTGGTGTAAGTTGCCATGCTTTACCGAGAATGCGTTGGTTGTGTTAGGCCTGGAGAAATGATCGGGCAAGAAAAGCCGCTCCTGTGGCTGCTGGTGGGTATCTTCGTGTGTTGTTACACTGTGAGCTCGACTTGACTTCCCCCGAGATTTCTGCATTGAAGAATAACAGTTATGGCTACTTCTTACTGCAGCAGTACGTTTAAAATAATTAGCCTAGGAATTAAAGCTAATTTTCCAAGTCAATCATTCTACACCCCGTTACGGGGAGGAAAAAAATTCTGGCATTAATTGGAATCAAAGCATTCAACTATGGGTGATGTTGGCAGTCAAAATCAACACAGCATTTTTTTGTGCACCTATTTCAGTTGCTGTCACTTACAAGATAACAAACCAATGAGAACTCTTGGGTTAGGTACTTTGATCAGCAGCGCTTACGATTTTAGACTATCCAGTAATAGAATTGTTGTGCCTATTACCGTTTGCCTCTGGGCTCCTGCAGTGCTCGCGTGCTCTGCCACACTGGTGGTAGTAATAGGTGGTAGGAGATTATTTCGGCTTAGCGGCAGTGGGGAGGGTGAGGTCAGCTGCTCATGTGCCGTCAGACTGAAATGCACCAATAAGAACAGAAAAAACCTACAGTTTATATGTTTGGCAATGTGTAAACGTACACTATTGTCAGTTTGTTTGGCATTATGTAGACACACTTGAAACTAAGAGCGATAGAATTTGGCTAAGGCTGCAGAATTTTGCTACAAGATGCTGGTGTTAGGGCTGACTATTGGAGACTGTATTTGAAAGGAGTTCTGCAGCGGGTAAAGTTTGGCAGAAGTCTTTTCATCTATTAACAAGAACTTCCAGTTTGCAGAATGTTTAATATTAAGCATATAGGCAGAGTGAGTCTGAGAACCAGTACCCCAGCAGAAATCCTGGTAACGGGTGTATATAAAAGCTAGCTGGTGGTTCAAATGCAGCTCATGCCGTGCATTTTGAAGGAGTGTGCTGTGCAGGATACTGCAGAATAAAGGTGTGTATGTGTCGAGGTGCCTTCATGGGCAGTTACCATACAACGGTAGAATCTTGCCTGCCCGTTCCCAGACACAGCATTATTTTCTGCTCTTTGTTCATACCCTTGAGGATGAAGCACAGCTTACTGCTAACTTCAGCCTAGCAATTAAACAATGAGCCTAGAAAACAGCAGCGGCCCGTATTTTAAGCAGAGCAAGTAAATAAGCTACATAGTGCAAATGCATATTGTAGCTCTTTCACTTATTACAAGCGTCAAATAAAACATCTGGGGGTAAAACAAGGCTTCTGCCTTCTCCGTATTTTGAGTATTTGAAGGTACAGGTGCAAGCGGCTTTTAGAAGCCTTCTAAAGGGAGCTAAACCAATCTAATTGCACAAAATACAAAATTAATTAAGCTTTAGTCACAGGAGGCATTTAAAAAAGTAAGTATTCTATTTTCTAGATACAGCCTTTTCATATGAAAGGTGTCTCCATATTATTGTATGTTTGAGAACTGCCAGAAATGATCGAGGCCTTAGCTCTATACGCATTGTGGAGCTGGCAGAAGGAAGGGTGTTCTGTAAGAATACATTAGAAAAGCTTCAAACTATAATCAGCATTTTAAAAAAGACTTTCCTAGTGCTCTCTACATACATTTAAAAATATATGGTAATAAAGGGGAAATGTTAACAATTGTTAGAGTGATCGAAGCCTGAGGGAACAGAAATATAAAATACTGGAAGGGACATGGAACAAGTCTTTAAACAGTACATGACAAAAAATAACAGGCTGGATGAGTTTATCGGTAAACTGCAAAACTAAAAGGAAATTACATCAATTCACAACACACGTGGAATACAGAAGTATATTAAACCCTGCATTGTTTCCCAAGACCCTGTGGTCCCTGTAAATGAATACATTCGGTCAGATCATTACGCCAAACAAAAGGAAATTATTCTGGATGTGACCGAGGGTTCACTGAGTACCTCAGGAGTCCTTTGGTCAGCCGGATAGCCTATCTGAGCTGACCATCTTCTTTATAGCCCAGTCTGGGCTAGGACAGCAACAGGCAGTTTGCCCTCCAAAAACCAGGCTTTTAAGTTCATCTTGAAAATAGGCTACAGAAAAACAAAGCCGGTGACAAGAAAGAGATGGTGGTATTTGCTTTGCTTGTACCGGACAGACCGGGGTCTAGAGTTTGTGTGCAAAACTACCTAAATATGTTTGCAATTCATTGAATCGCAGCTTGTAGCAAAGTAAATGTCAACTTTAGCAACTTGGCTTTCTCAGGGGCGATTGTGCTTTAACAGGCAGTTAATTTCTTTAATCAGAGAATCATTTAGGTTGGAAAAGACCTTTCAGATCACCCAGTCCAACCATTAACCTAACACTGCCAAGTCCACCACTAAACCAATTAAGGGGAGAGTAGCAATTTCATGTTTCCTGGCTTGGTAACTGGATCATTTATAATGAAAGTGAAAACTAGGAATCATTAAGGTTGGAAAGGATCTCTAGGATCACCAGTCCAACATCAACCCAACACCCCCATGCCCGCTAAACCATGTCCCAAAGTGCCACATCTACCCGTTTTTTGAACACTTCCAGGGATGGGGACTCCCCCACCTCTCTGGGCAGCCTGTTCCAATGCTTGACCACTCTTTTGTTGAAGAAATTTTTCCTAATAGCCAATCTAAACCTCCCCTGATGCAGCTTGAGCCCATTTCCTCTTGTCCTATCACTAACTACTTGGGAGAAGAGACCAACACCCCCCTCCTTGCCCCCTCCTGTCAGGCAGCTGCAGAGAGCGATGAGGTCTCCCCTCAGCCCCCTCTTCTCCAGGCTGAACACCCCCAGCTCCCTCAGCCGCTCCTCATAAGACCTGTGCTTATCAAGTAATTCATGTTCTTGCTATTCAACTGTATGCTTTTTGTATAAGCTGGGTTCTCTAAATACGGTAACTTGCTGTGAGAAACTGGTTTTGAAACGTACAGTCGAGTTCCCCTGAAGACACTGTCCACAGACCCTGGGGTCCCGGTACGAGAGTGGCTTGTGTTGATGGGATGCAGGGTACGTGGTGGTGGGTTTCGCTTTCTCGTGGAACGTGACAGGGATGATGTGCTGAGCTCTAGAGGACGATTTGGCCACACTCTAGTAGAGACAATGGAACTGGAGCCTGGCTGTTTGTCATCCAGGTCCCTAACAAAAGAATTATAAAACCAAGAAAGATATGGTCAACATGACTGATAACTACCCCATTACCAAAGTACTCATCTACATGCGGCATTAATAGTATTATGTGTGGATAGGGATGATGTGTTTTCATATTTTTACGTAACTGTATAAAGTAATTTACAGCCAAATTAGAAAAGAATAGGGGATGGAAAAGAAAAAAGAAGCCTACCTTTATTTTTTTACTGAACTATGAACTTTCTGATTCAAGATTCCAGTATAAAAGTAAAAATTAATCACAGAACAGATGGAAAAAAAAAACCAAACCCCATAGGGTAAACATCAGTTTTCACACCCATAGCCTAGATCTAACGCAAGTCCACTTCTAGGAACTGAGCAAATCAGTTTCTCTACCCCATTCTGAGCTTTGTCTCTTTTCAGGGTGTCAGTTAGTGCCAACAGTAATGCCACGGCTGTTCACTAAGTGGTAAACCAGCAGCAATCAAATAGAAAACCTGTGCTAGAAGTATATGTTTCATAGAGGACAAATAAACAAACAAGCAGGAATATAATTGAGAATTGCTTTCTCCAGTGTAGGAAGTTATCTCACAATGTTTTGGGTTGAATTCCTCTCACCGTGAGAGTGCTCTACTTTACAACAGATGACCTATAGGTCTTACGGTGTTTTCTCTATTACAGGCAGATTCCTTTGCTGTAACTGGATCCCATGTATCACCATCAAGCCATTCAGATTACGCTGAGAGCCACTACTTGACCCTTGAGAGAGATTTACCTGAAAGGTTAAAAAATAAGTAAGTAAATTACTGTTTGGCAGAGATATACACACATATTTACAGATTTTGTCCTCGTAAATTAATTTGGAGGGAAGAAATTAATTTCTTCCATGACACCCCGTCATTTTTATATCAGTTATGTTACTTCCCCATCTAAGACAGGCATCTTAGCATTCCATTTTTCTTGCTAATGGTAGTGATTAGAAAATGTATCCTACCATGCTATGTCATACTTAATATTTTCCAACTGAGCTTCTCATTTGCATGACAGGATCTTCCAACAATGGCTATAATCAGAAGCTTTACGAAACTAATTTTCAGTGTACGTTGACATTTTACGTCAAGAACAGAACTACAAACTCCTTTTGTGGAATACAGACTAATTAATTGGGAAAAACATCCAATTCCACCCACTGTAACAACAGCAAATAGAGAATACCAGAGCTTTAATCTCTCCAACATACATACTTGAGGTGGTTTTCTCCTCTTTTTGCTTTTGCGGCCACATCTGGTTTTTGGGCACTACACACACAGTAAGAGGAACACGAGGAAGAGGCAGGGGTAGAAGTAAAGGAGAAGGAAATAAAAAGAAATAAGAAGGAAAGAGTTGAATTAAAATGGAATAAACAGATAACACTTTGGTGCTCACCACTCTAGGAGCAGATCATCTAAAGCAGATTATACAGTCAAATTCAGTGTCTGAGAAAAAAAAATACTGTTTTACAACTGCACTGAGGTTTGTCCTCTATTGCCTGATGGGTTAGCTATAGATAAGCTAGTGAGAACAGGATCTCACACACCCAATCCTCAATCTCACAATTTAGCTCAAACAGTATTGAAATGTAGAAAGAACTATGCCATTAATGAACAGTCACCACATGGTTGTCCAATACATATATAAAATATTAAGTTTTAAAGAGTAAAATAGGAATTAAAACTTGCAACTGAGGAATAACAGAACGTAAGTGGTAGAAAGGACAGTCAGCATTCATACAAAATCCAAACTAGTTATGTATCTGAACAGTCCCCTGACGTACTCGAATCTGTTTGCTTAGGTAGCGCTGTATTGACTTGTCCCTACACAAACCAGCGGGCTAAAAATACTTACCACATTTGATGTCACTGAGGGCGTTTTAGTTTGTGGCACACGAGGTAACAACGCTGGCAGAGGATCAAACTGCAAAGGGCTTCCAGCATCTGCTCTGATTGTTTCTACTGTTATGATATTTTTCTCATCATCTATGCAAAGCAACAGAGAATTCCTGTAAATACAGACTGCTGGCATTGCTAGTTGTGGACAGTGCTATGAATCCAAATTTTTTAAAGAGAGTCCTCTTAGATGGTAAGCTCTATTAAATCTTTCGAAGGCATGTCTCACACTGTTAGGAAAATAACCTCCCGCCCCCCCGCGAAGAGATTATTCCCAAATACATCTCCTTCTCATTGCATCCTTGCAAAATTAAGTAACTGAAATCCCCTTTTGAATCTTCAGTTTAATGGTGATCCTTACCAGAGGCTGACCCTTCCCAGTGTCTGCAGATTAATTCTTCCATGCAGCCAAGGACTTCACTCCACACATCATCAAACACAAATGTGAGCACAGAATCCTTCATGCAGGAATACGGAGAGATTGGAGGAAACCCCAATTTCCGTCTACCGGAGGACAGACCCATCTTCCTCTCATGCAACTCCTCCTCCCTGTAAAAATGTAAGCATTACCTGTACCATAAGCACATCTTCTTTGTCTCCTATATTTTGTTGCATTTATTTAATAGGATTAAAACAACAGCTAAGGCTGCATTTCTGTTCTATTTTCTCTTAAACTGAAATAGGTCAAGGTAGCTGGCTGAATAGTTTGAAGACTTCAGGAGAAGTTTTGTATTTATCGTGCAATATTATTTTCTGAGAGCCGACACTTTAATAAACAGCAATATCAAATAACAGTCTCATACTGAAAGAAGCAAGCTGGACACTTGAACTTTTATTTCTTCCAGAATCTACCACTGACCTAAATGAGAAATGACCGACACAATCAACCTTATTACTGCACACCTCGGTTTCCCTGTACAGAATGACTATAAATGATGCTTCATGAATAAAAAATAATTTACCAAGGAGATCAAAGTTCCATTTAAAAATAAACATTAATAGTTACAGCGATATTTGTTCCTAACATTGTTAGGCTCCATATCTAATGTCACTACAGAATTCTGAAGATGAGAAAGAGGGAATGTTACTGCTTGTGACTGTTTAATGCCACTCTCAGCCCGCTGCTCGAACAGCCAGGACGTGTTCAGGGCACAGGCTTAATTCAGTTTTAGACAATTAGATGTAATCAATGAGAGGGGAGAAAAACCGTAATTCACAGCAGCGAGGGGCCTTTGCTGCAGACTTCCACAACACAAGAGGTATGCTGAAGTGTGAAACCTGGAAGACAACTGCTCAAAAATGTTTATGTTCATCTGCCAAAAGAAACTTCAGAGGAGGGAGAAAATAATACTGATGCAAACGCATTTATTACGGCTTTCGTATCTGCTCCCTGAAATAGTACTTAACATCAAAAAGCTACAAACCTTGCGGGGGGGGGGAGGGGCGGAAAAAAAAGGAGATCTCACTAGAAAAATCTGTAATACTTCTACCATTATTTTACAGAGACAGCGATGTTGTTTGGTGCAGCAATGTCTCTCTGGCCTGGCAAAGCGAGCCACCTACCCATTTGACTCTCACAGTCCACACAGCTAAGTGGCTTTATTTATTAAAACCAATTAAGTAGTTAGCAACTGACAGTGCCATCCAGAGTCCTCACCCAGGCCATATGTTCCTATTATTGGGTTGAATAAAGTAAAGGGGCAAAAAGAATCCATCATTTCTTTGTAAGATAAAAATAGTGGTAATTATTTCTTAGCAAGCACCAAATGCGCTCTAATTCTTAAATTACCACTGATAATCTGGAAAGGTACAATTCCACCCAAAATGCTAGTACAAAACCAAAGCAGCGCACTGCTAGTGCATAACAAACAACAATGAATTTGACTTAGTATAAAAAATAAATGGCATTTAAACAAGTTTTATTAAATAGCAGGCTCTTAGTTATGATGGAATGAACTGTTTAAACCAGGCACAAAAATGGTTAGCGGTTGGACTTGATGATCTTAAGGTCTTTTCCAACCTAAACAATTCTGTAATTCTATGATTCTAAAAATGGCTAGTATGAAAAATTACAAAAAATTCAGAAAAATAATTTAGCAAAATAAACTGTTCTAGGAAACGGATTGGGAGAATTCCCGGTGCCCTAGCAACCTCAGGCTTTTGAAAGTTCTCTAGAGGAAAGATGTAAAAAAAAAAAAAAATTCATCAAATACTCTATCAACTAACATCAA